AAATGAGTAATTTTAGTGTTATTTTTTAATTTTACCCTTATTTTATGATAGAGGCTAGTAGTAATTACTCATTTTAAAAGCGTACTTTTTTTCAAAACAGATAAGTTATATAATGAAAAAATAACAGATAAGTTATATTTGAAAACAGATAAGTTATATAATGAAAAAATAACATATAAGTTATATTTGAAAGCAGATAAGTTATATAATGAAAAAATAACACCAAATTACTCATTTTAAAAACCAAATTACTCATTTTAAAAACGTACTTTTTTCAAACAGAAAGAGTTTTATTGGAAGGAGTAGTAATTATTGTTGTCATCTTCAAAGTTGCATATCCTACTATAAAGTTAGGTTAAAATTAGAAAATAATATAAAAAATTACATATTCTTTAAATCCTAGTTTTTTCAAAGTATAAAATTTTGCAGGACACTGGAGAGAGTATAAAAAGGTCTACTCTCGATATAAAATACTCTATTCGTTTTTTTAAAACACTTCCTTTTTTTTCTCATTCTCAAAAACACTTCTGCATTCTATTAAAACCTGCTTGACCCTTACTGTATCTTATCCTACATGGTATAACATCATATTTTTCACTAATAATCTTACTTTTAGTCATCACATCAAGGGCAAAATTGTAAAGTTAACTATAAATATACAATCCTTATTTTGGCTAAAAGTCAAAATAAAAATGATTTACTGAAATAGAGGGAGTGATAATACAATTATGTAATTTTATAAAATCATCAATCAAAACACAAAAGAAAATAAATATCATTATAAGTTTGAAATAATGAATGTGAGATTCTTTTGGGGAAGGGAGAGTATCTTTTCCTCATTACAATTTGATTAATACTCTCTAAAAAATGAGCTAACGATGGGTTCATGAACGAAATCGTGATGAACTTTACTATTTAAATTCTTATTTTAAAATTATTTTAAACTATTTTAAAGTTTGTTCCGATTTTATTTGTGAACCAAACGTTTCTCCTAAAAAATAGTCTCCTCCTCCTCATCATGCTTATATGGGCCCAATGATTTCAAATCACATTGGTGGGCTGTGTGAGGAAACGTGCGGTCTACTACAAATAAAATAAAGGGCCCTAATACATAGACGGGCCCATGAATTCCTAAATTCACATTGATGGGCTGTGTGGGGAAGCGTGTGATCTACTACAAATAAAATAAAGGGAAAATATTCAAAAAGTTAAAGAGGTCTAAAGGATTCAAGCTCACGATTACACTTACACCAAAATGTATAATCTAAATCTACGCCAAGGATATGCACTAATATTTTGATTAAGTTATACTGACATAAAATACTGGTGCCTTAACAAAAATTATCATTTATATTTTATGTCCATGTGAACTATGAGTCTAGCATTACACCGACAGAAAATGTAGGTGCACACATGCAGTTTACAAATTGGGTACAAATCTTGGGCTACAAATAGTTTAATACCATTTGGTATGCACGACGAGAGGGCAAAAGGAAGGCCCACGTAGGCAACTGGAAGAAGGGAACATTGTCCCCCATCCTCCCATGTCGGAACAGGAAAGGTGGGTTCTCCTTCCTATTTTTCCTGTATCGCGCTTCTTCCTTTTTCGACTGTTTAATAGTCTTTTTTTTTTTTGAATTGTTAGCGTTGTATAGGTAGCCTCAAAAATATTTCTATAAGTTTCACTATTTAAACACATCTTTCCCCTTCACATTGTTGTATACTTTCATCCATCTTTTTGAATTCTAGTAGTGTTTGTTTAATATTTTTCACACTTCTGAGCACAACGGATCAATGTCTTCATCAGATTCCCTTTTTAATATATTTTTTATTTTAATTTTAATGAAATGTTTAATTTAAATTATAATTATGTAAATTTGTATTGTAATGTTTATTTTGTGTTTATTTTATGAAAAATAAGTGTTAACATATAATATTAAAAATTGGAAGGGAAAGAGAAAGTGAAGGGGAAGCACAACCTTGAAAGGGGAATGGAAGACGAAGAAACAGTAAAAACTGACACGACATTGACTTGGAAGAAGGGGGGAGATGAGTAGTAGGGAAGAGGAGTAGCCGAGTAGTGGGGTTTATATTCTTAGTGACTCGTGTGAATATATGGTTCTCAATAGAAAATATTTGTGCTCTTTATTTTGAAACATAATATAATGACTCGTATTTTTTTAACATAAAATTAAACAAGAAACCTCTTTATGAAATTAATGAGTATTATGTTCTTCATGTGTCATTAGGACAAAATATGGATTACCCAAAATTCTATGAACCATCTATAATGCTATCAAGTTTCCTTAAAAAATATGCTATTAAATTTGACAACACAATTAACAATTGTCTATAAATTTACTTATTTACTCATACAAATAATTTAATAATTTATGGACACAATCGCACAGATGATAATACTCGATAATCACCATTGTATGAATGAATTCACATACATCCTTGGACATGAATTCTAAGAAAGAAATCTCTTTGGGTAGAAGTAAAAAGGTTTGAAAATACTAAAATAATAGTTCTCTGTCTTTTAGATCAAAATATGAGTATAATACGAGTAACAATTAGTTATAAGAGTACGCATTAAGAGTGTGATGAAAAAACGATAACAATGTAATAAGTCATTGTGATCAGTCAACAGTCAGTGATCTCTAACGATACTCTGGTGGCCAGCAGCGACACGTGAAAATGTGGTAGTGATAATATGACAATTACAATGTGACATTGTAATGAGTGTGATAATGTAACAATGTTAATTTGAATTTCTATTTTAGTTTTAGAAGACATATGACTCTAATTTTAATATTTTTATTGGTAGAGGGTGAATAGGGAGCATTTGAACATGTGGGGTCGCAAGGAGAGTATTGTGTTTGTAGATGTATGGGGGCGTGGGTGAGCTGTTTGGGGTGTAAGGTGGGAGACAGCTGCCAACAACAACAAGCTAAGATCTGACCGTTGAGTTCGGCGAAGGTTTACAAGGAATGGCAATGTTTCTCTGATTTGATTTGCGCTGTTGACTGTTCCTCCTCCTCCTTTCGGCGCGGGAAACTCTTTTCAGATTTTCTTCATCTCAAAACAGAGCCCTTCTTTAGTGCACTATCGTTTTTGTGTTACTTTAATTCTTACTCCCTCCAAACATGAGACTTTTACTTTTTAGAATGGATTTAAGGAGAGTGTATTTTGGTATTGAATTTCCAAAAATATCCTTTGATGTGATGGGTAAAAGTATGATTTGATGGATAGATTATTAGTAAATAGGTATGATGTGGAGTAAAATTGACTTTTTAATAGAAACGAGAAGTGTTTTGTGGGACGGATAAAAAAAGAAAGGAGAAAGGTTTCATGGGACGGAGGGAGTACTATTTAAAATAAATGCTTATCGAAATAGTTCTGTTAGGATTGGCTTATTTGCATTATATAAAAAGTCCATGGCGGACCTTAAATTCACCATAGAATTTGTTCTCAAAATAATTGTCACATTACCAATGACAAACCAGATTTAAAAAATTTTCAAATTCATTTTATTTAAAAATTATTATAAAAATAAAAATAAATTTTAAATATTTATAAAATATGTTAAAAGTTTTTTGTGAATTTTTTTCAGGACAAGACATTGGTGGGTGGGAGTAGGGGAAGAGGTAGACTTTGGAGTAATTGGAAGGAGATGATTAGTCACGATCTAAGACTTCTTACCCTCAATTTCTCGTTGAGAATATAACCTTAAATAAGAGCGTTAGGAGAATTAAGATTAAGGTAGTCGGGTAGGCATTTTGGACTTTATGGTCGTTTATCCACTTGTGTGCTCTGTTTGCCTATAGGCTTGATGCTCTTTGATGGTGTGTCTTTATTTTGTGAACAGTCTTTGTACTTTTGAATTAGTTTATTCTGTGATCTCATCTCTATTTTGTTGTTCGAGTTGAGGATCTTTTGGAAACAGTCTTTGTACTTTTGAGTAGAGCAATGTTTGCATACACACACCATCCTCAAACCTTACTCTCGTGGGATCAACCTGAATTGTTGTTGTTTTTGAGACGAAAGGAGTATTACTCAATTTTTAGGATACTCCTCATTCATCCTATTGATAGAGTAAATTCTAAAATTGATATTTTAAATATAATTATCTTTTTCTTTTTGAACTTTATTATTAATACAATTTGACTTTATTTTTGCATTTCATCTATCATCTATGTGTTACTCCTATTTAGGTTGATTTTTTAAAATTATCTATACGTATATGTAAAAGTAATGAGATCACAAGAACTCGAGATGTTCGGATTGCCATGTGTTATGGAGCGTGAGGAGGGACTTGACCTCCCTTACTCACGCTCCCCCCCCTCGTGCATTGCATATCTATGGTGAAGGGCGCTCTCCCGATTCAAGTGACAACTGCCACTCCGTGATGGCCTCTCCCTTCCCATTATTATTATTATTATTATTATTATTATTATTATTATTATTATTATTATTATTATTATTATTATTATTATTATTATTATTATTATTATTATTATTATATGAACTTCTCGTTGCGCGTTACGCTATTTGATTGAAGTTATTTTCAAATCGTTTTATATGAAAAATAGTGTAAAATTTAAAACTAAAAATTACATATTAAAAAACTATATCAAAAGATTTACAAAACTAGAGATGACATGATTATATTATTTTATCAAATGAATGACAAAAATAGACTAATAAAGTGAATAAAGTTTGACTTTGTGAATAGTGAACGGAAAATTTATTTGTGAACGGAGGGAGTATTTATTTAGTGTAATTGAAAATTAACGTATTGTTTAATTTGGTTTTAAAAATTGGAAAACGAATACAGATATATCCGATATCCGACGGATGTGGATACGATTTTGATATTCAGTATCTGTCAAGATCCGTATCCGAATTCAATATCCGACAAAAATAAATGGATAGGAATTTAGTAATGACATATTGACATATTCGATTCAATTAACTTCGGCTAGTTTCAAAAGAAAGAGAAAAGGACAAAAAGAAAGTCCAAAATATCCTTAAAAAATGGCCACCTGTCCGCCCCAGCAGAACATCCAGTCACCCCTCAATCCCTCATCCATTACTCCCACTCCGTCAAACCTCCGCCGTCCCCACCACCACCCCCACTTTGGCCCCACTCCCACTGCAAATATACCCCGTTCCCCACTTCTCCTCTCCCTCTTTATTAGCCTTCATCCGTATCCCCTCCTCCCCTGCAAATCCCCTCCTTTCCCTTTCGCTCAAGATATGGCTGCTGTTAAGAAATCCTTGCCGGATTTCTCGCTGCCGTCGGATTTTTTCTCCGACAGCGACGTTTTCCCGGAGAAATACCGGAAGCCTGACACTGATATCTGTTTCCCGGCCGAGTTCCCGTATGACCTCTGCTCCTCTCCGGCCGGATCTGCCGAGAGTGACGACGACGAGTTTCTTTCCAGTTTGACCCGCCGGCTTGCTCTGTCTTCTTTGCCGGAGGACACTCTGAACTCCTCCTCCTCCTGGCAAAATCACTTTGAGGTACTCTTTCTCGTTTCTTCCTTCCCCTGTTTCATTGCATTTGCTTGGTTTTAACGTTTTTGTATTTAAAACTTTGATTTCACAGGCATGGCTGCTCTCGCGGTCGCCGGAGAAGACTTTGAGAAGAGAAAGAAGCTGGTCGGGTCGAGGCTCCGGCACACTGAACGGGCCCTCGCTGATATCCTCTCCCACTACGCCGCTCGGCTTTAAGAAAGATTCGTGGGATCTGATACTTCAGGCCGCCGGTCGAGTTGCGGCGCTGCAAATGAGGGCCGGAGAGGAATCTCTGATCGATCACCGTCTTCCGGGTCATCGGACTTTTCCCCTGTTCTCGCCGCCGGTAACCTATTTCACATTTGTCTATTTTCATTTCATGCCATCATTTCCAAAGATTTAGAATCCAATTTCTTGCAGCCGCACAAAGCTAGAGGAGTTGGGCCGTTTGTTTCTAGCAACGCCGCCTCCTTGCAGGGCAGGCCAGGTACTATGCCATACGGCGGCGCCGGCGGCTCTTGCGTCGGCGGAGTGAAGAGAGAGCGTTCTGGGACCGGCGTTTTCTTGCCGATGCCATATGCAAGTGACACTAGTACCCATCGGTATCCTATGAATTCCGGCCGCAACAAAGCAGGTAAAGCATTTCTCTGTCTTGCTGGTTTACCTTTCCCTGTTTAGCTGTTTTTCTATCCGAGTCATGTGAACTCAATGGGTTAGGCCGAGTCACTCAGTTGCTCATAAAGCTCTGATAATACCTGGTCTGGATAAACCTCCCTTTTGACTCAATGGGTTGGACTATTTTAATAATGACTAAATAGCACTAGAACATAAATGGTTTTATCTAAATTGTATCACATGTGTTTTTTTTCTAATATACTACGTAATACTTTTAGTCATTATACATTAGTTATTATTCAAATACTGGTAAATGTTTCCCGGGATATTATGTAAATTATTAAGTACGTACTACTCTTTACAGAAATGACTTAAGTTTTAGTGATATTTTGTGCAAATATTTCTTTTAATCAGTCTTTGTTACCAAAAAGTAGAGCCAAATACAGTCTTTAACATTATTTATTGGTTTTATTTCTTTGAAACGTTTTTTTTAAAAACCAATTGTACGGAGTGCTGCAAAATAGATGTTAAAAAAAGGTGACTTCTTTTGTCATATAGGCTTTGAATGCCTTAGTGAATACTACTCCACTTTGGTTCCCTTTGGAGTGGTTTTAGGAAAGAAAAAAGGAAAAGAATTTGCTTTCCTCTTAGGGTGTGTTTGGTTTGAGACAGAGGAGAGGACTTTATGTTTAGTTTAGGAGAATGATGAGAATAAATTTGATTTTGTTCTTTGAGTTTTAACTATTACCGTAATTTCAAACATTTTTTTTTAATTTTTTTCTAACTACTTAAGTTTGTTCAAAGAGTTCACTATTCTAGCATAGACTGAATCTTTTTTATACTATATTAGTTTAGTGTGGAAATAAATAACTTGATGTACCAACTAAACAGTACTCCTTACACATGTTTGACTTTGATATTTGAAATGTGACAAATGCTCCCATTCCAAAATAAATGTCTCTTTTATCTGATATCAAAATCATAGAACAAAAATTATGCGTTTGACACATTGGAAGAATGTGAAAGTGATTCCTTAATTGAGAATATGTTTTAACATTTGGCATAAGTAAGATTTGGTATATAATTGGACTTCTTGTGCTGATTCTTGATTTAAACAGGCTTCTGCCCAAATGCTAGGGCTGTTCCTTCTACACCCAACAACTTTCGCGACATCATTGGCTCTACTCAACCTCGTCTAAACATCAACTTTGTTTCGGATTATGGTACGTTTCCGTCCAAAGTCTTGTGGTATTCTAATCGGGTTTGTTATTGTTGTTATTGTTGTAATGCCACGTTTAAGGGACTAACTCATGGTGAAAATCATTTTATATACAGATGTGATGCTTGCAAGAAGGAATGCCGCACTGCTAGCGCAAAACAAGAAAGACTTTCGCCCCGAAATAATGCTTCCCCAGGAATGGACCTATTGACACTGCTGAGGTTTTTTTTAACAAGAAGTGGTCTTTTAGGACAATAATTAGTGATCAAGTACCTAAATAAATAGTAGATGCAATAACAAATCTTGGGGTTTTAAGGGTTAAGAGAAGGAAAAGATGAGATTTTTTATAATATTCTTTTGGGGTTTTATTGAGGTTTCAGAAACATATTCTGAAAGGGTTTGGTTTCTTTGCATTTCTTGGCAAAGGACAGCAGAATGAGGAATATAGTTAGGAGTTATTATTGATAAGTGGATTAATTAAGATGGGATTTTCTTTGTTTTCTTTGTTTTCTTGATTTCTTTGGTGGAGTATTAAATAAAGTTGGTTTAAAGCAGACAGGCAGAGCCATTCCTTGTACTGAAGTGTTAAATGTGTAATAAGAAAAAAATGGTTACTTTTGAAGCACACTTTGTTTAAAGTCATTGAAGAAGGGCATTGAATGGGTGCATTGTTTCTTCTGTGACTTCGTTTTTAATTCCCTCACCAAACTCCCAATTCTGCCATTCAATATCTCTTGACTTTGGAATCTGGTGCTTCTTGGGCAGGGCATTAATGGCAGCCAAACACACTTTAATTTATGTTGGCATAGTGTCATGCAAAAGAGTTGTATCCCATTATGAGGGCATGTTTGTAAAGGGTGTGTTTGTTGGAGTGGAAATCAGGTGTGAAGGAATTGGAAATTTTCCAAAATTTTACACCTATGGTCTCCCTATCTACTTGAAAGAGAATGAATAACATTTTTATTGGGGAAAAAATAAAAAAATAAAAGCAATTCTTTTTCAGGTTTTGTTCATTCACATTATATAAACCTTTTTGACATGGATTTCTTAGTACTAGCATAAGTATTATTATTACGATTAGAATTAAGGTTAAGATTATGATTTACTTGAGAAAAATGAGCTTTTTCTACAACTTATGTGATAAGGTCTAAACATTAGATGTGGATTTTGGGTTCATGAAATCAGCACTCTATTTTAAAAAAATGTTCTTTCATAATCTTAATGTCTACATGTAAAATATAAACTTTTTTACATTTTTCATTAGCTAGTAGATGGATTTTTTTGTTACAAGCTTAATTCTTTTACACAATACCAATGTATAACACGAGTATGAAACTTAAGACCATGGAAGAATTTACCTATTTTTTAAAACATGGCTTAATTATGATCATTAATTATATAAAAGTTTATTGCATATTAAAATAATGGAATAATTATATAAAATGTTTTTGCAAGATAAATCTTGTTTGCGGATATATTAGGATTCAAAGTAAGCTTGCCTTTAAAATATGTGAAATTTGCACTAAATACTACTAAAACATATGTCTTTTCTCAATGTAGCATTTAAACCTTTTAATTTCTTAAATAGTACTTAAATAATGTCTAGTTGCGAGAATAATGTCTAGTAATAGTGGATATTTAGTTTGAACAATGTCCAGTCGTGATGGACATTTACTTGAATAATGACCAGTGGACATTGAACAGTGGTACCACATTGGGAAAGTGCTATGTTTTAGTACTATTTAAGTAATTCTCCTTAAAATATTGTGTCCGTTATTATGATATCCCTATAATTTTTATTTCTTTATGCGTTTTTCTAATAATTAATTTTAAAAAATAAAATATTTTTGCCACATTTTATTTTTTTAAACCTTTGATGTAATTTTGAAATTTTTAATTTAGATTTTTATTTCTATAGCAATTTGTAAATAAGGTAAATCTAAAAATATTTGAATTTTACACATCGTTCGGATACAAATAATATTATTAGGACGAAAGGAATTTTTTGTTCTCAGTTCTCCATAGATCTTCTAAAATACTATTTACAAGGTAGAACTTAACGAATTTTGTTTGCTTATTTTTTGTATATAAATTTTAATTTTAAAGTTTACCCCTATAATAATTTTTTTACTTAAAATAAAGTCGATCGTCTCCTAACGCGTTACGAGAAGATCTATGTGGGATGAATGGAATACTTGATACTAAAATTTGTCTAATTTAATTGTAAAAATTACACTAAAGTGAAACTCTCAATAATGAGCTTCACTATTTCCACCAATAGAAGCTAGAGTGAAAGAAAAGAAAAGAGCTCGTGGCAATGGCAAGGAGTGCCAAATAGGTAACACCCAAGTTTGATTCCTGGCAACTGCATTGCGAAACAACTATGTTAAGCATAGAGCTTTTGCAAGTATTAGATTGTCCAAGTACAGACTCCACTCTTTGCCACCAATCTGCTATCAAAATTAAATTTACTTTCTTTCAGTGACTGTTCAGTTGGGTCTCAAGTGAATGAAAAGAAAATGTCAAAGAACATGGCCCTAAAATTTCTTCTTTTAAATTTGAATTTTGAAATTCAAATATTTGAAAAGATACACATTGTAAGTATATGTTGTCCTTTCATACTTTATATATTGATTCTTTTTGTTACGGAGTATTTTGCTAAATCAATAAAGAGAGATTATTTCTTGAAAATGAAGACTATTAAAAAGTGGTTATAAGTTTTTTTGCTTTATGCCCCAAGTTTGAGGCTTTATCCATCTGAAATTAGTTGAAATAGTCGTATCATCTCAAAAAAATTGTTTAAAAGCTTAACGTTTTTGTTCAAATTGTCACACTCCTAATATACTGATTATTAAAAATAATAATTTTAAATGCTATTTCTGTTTTGTTTTAGTGTATAATGTTTGAATTAACTCCTTTTCAATTTAACTTATCTAGATATTAACGCAAAACTATAAATATACCCTCTCCGTCTCTAAAAAACTTCTTGTTTCATTTTTTTGTATTTTTTTACGGGTAGAAATTATTTTATAAATAATTTAGATATTTTAGATATAGTGGAATTGTTTTATGGGATGGACAAAAAATAAAACAAGAAGATTTTTTAGAGACGGAAGGAGTATAATTTATAAGTACATATTTAAAATCTGTATTAAAAAAATTTGTATTTAGTTTCAGTGCACCTAAACCCACACTATTGGTTAAGAATCTATTAGGTTGTGAGTTGAGGTCCATCTCAAATGGGAACTCCAAATTTCAATGTCCAAATTCCAATCTCCAATTACAAAATTTTACACTCCAATATCTAGATTTTAGTTAACAATAAATGACCAATTTCTGTATAAACACAAATTTGTCAAAGCTAATCCATGAACACAAAAGATTCACCAGTTTCTGAATTATTAATGACATTGATGACTACACCACACCAACAAGTTGTGAAATGTAACAAGTGAATTTCTTTCTAAAAACTCTACTAATTATTAATTTTAACACCTTTTTATATGTTACTCAACACACCTTTCAAAAGGTCCAGTCCTTCAGCTGATATGCTCCTCCTCCTTGAGAATCTTGGAATCTCTATCTGAGGAGGGGGGTCAGGGGAGAAGCAGACCACGATGACGGTCAAATTGTCGCACGTGTTGCGTTTCAGCGCCTCCCGGACCAGCTCCCTCGCGCACTTCTCGGGGTCGTTGTGGGCCCTCAGCTCCTTCCTCACCATCGTCACCGCGCACTGGCTGCTCATCACGTCCCACAACCCGTCGCACCCCATTATCAAGAACTCGTCCTCCTCTGTCAAAACCACCTCCTCTAACTCCGGCTCCGCGCTGAGTGGGCCCTTCGACCCTTTCGGTCCCTTCAGATGCCAGTCGCCGAGAGCCCGTGCGACCGATAGCTGCCCGTTCAGGTACCCGTCGTACACCACGCCCCCTAGTTTCTCTATCCTCAGCCTTTCGGACGTGCAATTCGGCTTGTGGTCTTTTGATAGCTCGATCGCTCTTCCTCTTTTCCCCAGTACTGCTCGAGAGTCCCCAACATTGGCAATTATTGTCGTCCTGAAAAAAAATTGTAAAGACTAAAGACCGTCAGTCGTCAGACAATCACGCACTGACAGTCATCACCAGTGTTTCACAGACAGTCATGTACACTGATTGTCTGTGGAGACACTAGCAGTGTCAATCTTGGTGTCATTGTAGCATGACTCGTTGGTCAGTACCCATGAAAACTACCAACATTAAGAAAGTCAGACAATCATCATCAACGTTTCACAGACCGTCATATACGACGATTGTCTTTGGAGACACTAGCGTGTCAATCTTGGTGTTATTGTAGAACGACTCAATCGTGAATGTTAGAATATAAATAACTGTTCCTGGGCCACAATCGAAAGCTTGGGTTTTGGTTGAGTTGGTTCGTGTTAGAATATAAATAACTGTTCCTGGGCCACAACCTCAAGCTTGAGCTTTTGGTTGAGTTGGTTCCTTGACATGGTATCGGAGCCTCGTTGACTAATAGGTCACGAGTTCGAAACTCAGCGCCACCCAGTTTAAAAAAAATTAAAGTTTCACGTGCAAGACTTGAAAAAGACTACGCCTGCACGTGAGGGGGCGTGTTAGGAATATAAATAACTGTTCCTGGGCCACAACCACAAGTTTGAGCTTTTGGTTGAGTTGATTCCTTGACAGTGAGTACTCGTGAAAACTACCGACATTAACAAAGGAGTGCGCCATGGATATCTCTCTTACCGTCCTAACATGAGTGCAGCGAGAGCAGTTGTGCCGGAGGAGCTATCAAGTGATTTAGCATCAGCCAGTGCATGATCAGCTCTGGCAAAAGCACTCCTAATAGCTCTTTTGGATGAAGAAGGGAAATGGGAATCCTCAACAATGAAGTTAAGGAGATTCTTTTGAGCAAATGACGCGGCATCAACACCGCCGTGCCCATCAAACACCTGAAATATATGTGTTTCGACTGAATACTTCAAGAAAAAAATCAAATCAAGCATTTAATTCTATGTATTTAAGCCAATGCAATTAGTGATAACATAGAAGACATCAATACTATGCGTTTTTTTCTCAGTTCTTGAAAGCCATTGAAGCTACATACCCCAAAAAAAGCGCTTGGAGAAGGAAACAACTGGGGATTATTATCGAAATGTTTGTGAAGATTTTCGACGCAAATGTGCTTATCTTCCATGTAAGATTTCGGTCCCATTTCGGCACAGCTCCCGGAGCGAAATACGGGGACAATTCCAGCACTCTCAACTTGTGGAGGAGATTTCAGGCCTGTAATTTGATTGGTTGCCTCCTAAATATTGGATTACCAAATGAACAAGTTACAATCACCAATTTGACATGCCAAACAAATGAAAAATCATCACCAAGAGCTTATAAAATCAAAAAACTGTAGAAAGTTGCATAAAATGAAATGCAGCTTTAGAAAGATCCATTGCATAACCATTGTATATCCCACCTAATGCCTATCAGTCTATAACTTAAAACATGCTATGAACTGATGAAAATCAGATTGAGGAACCACTCACCAATTCAAAGATACCTGCCAACGTTGCCTGACTGATACTACGTCGGATCACCATGAGATTCCTCGGAGGTTTCCCGGGATTTCCCTGGCATGAACTATCATTCTTTTCCTGGGAATTTTCATCTACAATGGAAATAATTCCCTCTCTGCAAGCCCCATTCTGTGATTCCTCACCATATATCCCAGTTGCCATTCTTCTCTTCAAACCGAAAAAAAAAAATCCAGTCTCAACAATTCACATCCACTTCACAGACAACCTTCAATTGCTTCTTGATAACAACACAAAAAAAACATGTTTTTATCGGCCTGTGCGGCATTTCGTCGAACATGTGGGCAGCAAAACATGTGATCCGTCGATCCCAACTCAACAACACCAGTACGTACAATCCGTCCACCGATTCTGCAATCGCAAAGAACCAAAAAGAATTCCCAAGATTCAATCTTTTCTTTATTATATGTATTCTTCTTGAAATTAAAGAAATAATAATAATAATTGGGAGGATATGCCTACGAGAAAAGGGTGAAAGCAAGAACCAAAAGAGAGCAATAATTTTGGGGAGAGCGTGAAAGAGCGAAACAAAAGCCTTGGAGGAGAAATGGGTGGGCAATTTGTTTTTTTTCTACATAAATGTATGAGTGGATCTTGAGATGGGAGCGGAGTGAGGGGCGATTCTTGCTTTGAGCAATGAACGCCGCCATTGTCGGTATGAGCTTTTGTGTGGATTTTGGGTCCTTTACATGTGCATTTTCCAATTCTTTCTTTTTACCCTTTGTTCAAAATTCTTCTTCATTCTTAATTTCTCATCTCATTAAAAAAGACATACTCATATATAAGAACATGATTTATAATAATTCTTTTATTGTAACTTTCTTTTTAACCACACCAATTTTTTCTTTTTTAAAAAAAGTTCAATTTTTTCTGTTGTATTCGTCTCGGAAAAAACCCACCACCACACACATTCTCTTGTTCATAACGTTTCTTCTTCTCTTAAACAAAGCAACCACACATTTTTTTTTTATTTCATGTAGAAATTACAGAACAGATGGTGAATAAATAAGCCTCTTGACATGTTGTTTCAAAGAAATGAGGCAAAACAAATACCCTTAACAAAGTGAAGGATTAAAGTGGCTTTCTAAGTGAACAAATGTCTTGAACCAGAAGTTCAAAATTGGAATGGGATGATCCACCTTCAATGACAGCTTCTTTAGCCAACTTAGCCATTTTCTGAGCTCTCTCCAAGAACTCGCCTTTTCTCCTAACCATTACGTCTCGGATTACATTCTCCACGATGACACGATCACACACGTCCTTCATGTCGAGCCCTAGCTTCCAAACCTCCCCCACGAAGCGGCTATTCGTCTGTTGGTCAGCCATGAAAGGCCAACAAATCATAGGCACGCCAGCGACAATGCTCTCCAATGTCGAATTCCAACCAGAATGAGTAAAAAACCCCCCGATGGCGGGATGGTCCAACACCGCCTCTTGAGGGGCCCAATTCACCATGTACCCATTCGTCCTCACTCCCTCGTCTAGCTCAGGAGGGAGAGAATATTCTCCAGATTTCACAACCCACAGGAACTTTTGGTCACTATTCACGAGGCCGTACATAAATTCTACCAATTGGTGCTTTGTGATGACCGCGATGCTTCCAAAGCTCACGTAGATCACGGACTTGGGCTCTTGCGAGTCGAGCCAAGCCAAACATGTTTGATCCTCTTGCCAAAGACTATTGGAGGAGGTCGGTTTTGATGCCAGTCTTGCCTTGAGATGGGCATGGATTGGTCCGATTGAGAAGACGTTTGGACATTTTGTTCTTATTTGGGATAGTACTGGCCCCTCGAGGTCTTCAAACGTGTTGAGTATGACCGCTCGAGCTTGTACTGCACCCCGAGTTTCAGGAGACAGAACGCTTGTCACGACATCTTCTCCAAAAAATCTTGGAAGGTCTCGCGCTCTTAAAAAACCTTCCATGCCCTTCACCTTTGTTATTGGTGAGTCCATCCCATTCTCTGCATTACGTTGTTTACATTTCATATGAGGAATATTTCATGATATATGTTATCAATGCTGAAATTATATGGATTTGGGATAGAATCTCATAATTCTACATGGTATCAAAGCGAAAACTCTAAGAACTCGAAAAAAAACTCATATCTATTTGGGTAACAATCTGAAGCAAAAAAACTCAAGTTACAGAGGGAATACTCAGGTTAAAAACAACAACTAAGATACAGAGTAGAAAACTTATTGTCGATAGCTTTTTCTTGAAATTTCACAATTTCGCGCATTTGTTTCAATGAATATGCAAAATATATATATGAGAAATAAACAGACCTTCTGTAGGCAGCTCCCCTGCTTCGATGAGATCGGGCAAGGAGAAGTAAACCCAAAAGGAGGCAGCGCTTGCCGTGCGAAAATAGTAAACGGGCAAATTGGCGGCGGCGACAGCACAGACCTCCGCGGCCACGGCGAGCGGTAAATCCGAAACAAAGCATGTAAACGGTGGCCAGGAATCACTGGTCTGTGTTAAAAATTCCCTCAGGAATGGCTTCCCAATCTTCTCGATTGAATCCACAAGCTCTTTAATTCCGCCCTTGGATTGGGTGTCACCTGTTTCATCTCCCAATTATTGAATCGCAAGTCTACGCTTCTACTTCCAATTTAAGATTTCAAAATCGAAATGGGGTGTGAAATTAGGGTAATATTTACCATCATAGATTCCGGCGGGGAAAGTCTGGAGTCTGAACCGGCGGCTGAACCGGCTGCCGGAATCTACGTCGGTGTGAGCTCGAAGGCGAGAGTCAACGGCGGCGGTGACAAGGAAGGTGACGTGGAGGCCGGAGAGATCTAAGAGCTGTGCAAATTTGAGCATGGAGTTCACATGCCCCTGGAGTGGAAGAGGATATATGATTACATGACCCGAATAATCCATCCGACCCGTTTTTCTGGCTGCTGCTACTGCTTCCCCTTGAGAGACGAAATTGTCCAGAGAGATACAACAACCAGTATTTTCGGACGGACTGGATGAAGGGAATATACTTATGGTATAAAGACCCATCCAAATAAGTTTGAAGAACTTTCATAAAAATTTTAAATTTTCTCTTTTTGTTTCTGTTTGCTATGCTTTTTAAAATATTTATTTATTATTTATTCCTATTCCGCTTTTTATCATCTCTTACTTTTTTTTCTTTGTTTTGTTTTCTTTTTTGTTTTTCTTTCTTTTTTCCTCTATTTATCTATTTCGTTATTTTTTCTTTTATCTTTTATCTTTTTTGTTAATAATTGTATTATATTATATTTAATCAATTTAATTAAACAAAAAAATCAAACCATACCTCTTAATTTTTTTTGTTTGTTTTATTTGAATTTTTTTTGTTTGTTTTTAATCTTTATTGTAAACAATTAAATAAAACAAGTGAATAAAATAAGCCCTAAATAAATATATAAAAAATGCAAAAACTATAAGAAAAGAGAAAATGGATGTCTAGCTCTATAGCTACGATATTATGTTTTTCTCTCGGTGTTCATTCTCTCTCTAGCCAGCCGTCCTCTTCTTCTCTCTGCTTCCATCTATTTATAGAGAATTTTGGCGGGGAACGTTGACATGGGTCTACAGTTAAGATCACTATGCCGTGATTGCCGGCAGCTGGCGCATGCATCAGATGTCGCCTCCGCAATAAATGAGTGTACGATCGTCATAATTGGTGGTTGGTCATATTGAGTTGATGGCTCAACCCCGATCAGCACCTGTTCGATACTCCTTGGGTTAAACAAACAATCGTTGAGTCTCCCAAGTCTCCCCCGACCGTTCATCGGGTGTGGTTAAGCCCGACCCCAAGGATCCGTCGGGCCGGTGCGTGTGGGAGGTGCGCATGGCGAGGACGTCGTTTGGGGGAGGCTCTTTCATCTTGGGCTCCTGCACTAATCCAATTGGTCCTTTATCCCAACAATACCAAAACCAATAACCTGGCCCATCATCCTTCTTCAGCTTGGGCTGCATTCATTTGCTAAATTCTTATCGACATGACGCCCGTATTATACTAAAAAACCTCAAACCCATTCCGGCCCAAAGTGACTTATCCGGAACGTTGTAGAACTCTAAAGAACAAATGGAAGACTTGAGAAATCGTTCCATGGAAGCTCCGCGAAAGTTCTGGTTCCATCGTCTTCCTCCTTCCTCCACTATAAAATCCCCATTCATGGATCTCCGTAAATACATCGGAAGAAATCTAACCCCAGCAGTTCTCAGTTGTTCAATACAATCCTCTAAAACCATCATTCATCAGAAATTCGATTTCCAATTAGTAAAATGTCTCTGATTCCAAGCATCTTCGGAGGTCGCCCCCGGAGCCACGTTTCCGACCCGTTCTCTCTCGATTTCTGGGACCCCTTCCAGGGATTCCCGTTCTCAAACGCCGTCGGCGCGCCGAGCGAGACCTCGGCGTTCGCGAACCCGCGGATCGACTGGAAGGAGACGCCGGAGAGCCACGTGTTCAAGGCGGATCTGCCGGGGCTGAAGAAGGAGGAGGTGAAGGTGGAGGTGGAGGAGGGGAGGATTCTGCAGATCAGCGGCGAGAGGAGCGGCGAGAAGGAGGAGAAGAACGACAAGTGGCACCGCGTGGAGCGGAGCAGCGGCAAGTTCCTGCGGCGGTTCCGGCTGCCGGAGAACGCGAAATTGGAGCAGGTGAAGGCGTCGATGGAGAACGGAGTGCTCACCGTGACGGTTCCCAAGGAGGAGGTGAAGAAGCCGGAGATCAAATCCATTGAGATCTCCGGCTAGACGGCCGCTGTGATATATTCATGAGATTTCTGTGTGTTTTTGGGCGAATAATAAGGAATGGTTTGTTATCTTAATTAAGCATGCAATATGCATGTATGTNGAGAGCCACGTGTTCAAGGCGGATCTGCCGGGGCTGAAGAAGGAGGAGGTGAAGGTGGAGGTGGAGGAGGGGAGGATTCTGCAGATCAGCGGCGAGAGGAGCGGCGAGAAGGAGGAGAAGAACGACAAGTGGCACCGCGTGGAGCGGAGCAGCGGCAAGTTCCTGCGGCGGTTCCGGCTGCCGGAGAACGCGAAATTGGAGCAGGTGAAGGCGTCGATGGAGAACGGAGTGCTCACCGTGACGGTTCCCAAGGAGGAGGTGAAGAAGCCGGAGATCAAATCCATTGAGATCTCCGGCTAGACGGCCGCTGTGATATATTCATGAGATTTCTGTGTGTTTTTGGGCGAATAATAAGGAATGGTTTGTTATCTTAATTAAGCATGCAATATGCATGTATGTGTTTGAAAATTGAAATGATATCCTGTAATATTTCTCAATAAATTATTTTGTTTCTTTTCCTGTTAAATTTAATTTTTTTCATTTGATTTTGTTGGTTAAATCTTATAAACGTTCATTTCTTTGTGTGTTTTTCATTCATAATTTGATAAATTAAAAAATTCTTGTCCATTGTAAAATTTTAAGAAATTTTTGAACAATATTATTTAAACTTTTTATTTTTATACCAATTTATAGAAAGTTGAAATTAATCAAAACATTGTTAAATTATTCTGAATCTTTGTTAGATAATTCAAAACACTAATACCAATTGAAAATGTCATTTCTAAACAACGGCTAAATATACAAAAACGACACACGCCCTCCAAGTATAACAAAAACGACACACGCCCTCCAATAATTTTCAGAGTAACGTCGTTTTTCTGGTAATAACTTTCATTAGGTACTCTCGTTTTTTGGTAAGAAACTTTTGTTTTACATTACCCGAAATATACTTCGAGGTTCTCAAAACTTATGATATTATCATTCCTTTACTCTGACGAATACTAAATTTTATCTTGATAATAATTATTACCTCCATCTCAAAAAGATTTACATGTTTTGACTAAAGTTGAAATTAAGGGAAGGATAATTTTGTGTTGACTTTCCAAAAATACCTTTGATGTGATGGGTAAAAGTATGATGTGATGTGTAAATTATTAGGAAAAAGATATGATGTGATAGGTAAGGTTTGAAAAAGTAAGGGGTAAAAGTAGTCTTTTAATAGAAATGGGTAGGAAATTGTGGGACGCAATTTTTTTGAAAAGTGTAAATTTTTTTGGGACGGAGAGAGTATTTTATTAAATTTAAAATAATCCTTCATTTTGTCAAAGTAAAAGGATTTCAATCCTTACACCTAAATTGATGAAATGTATTTTCAAAGTACAAATTGACAAAATCAAAACATATAATAGAATGAAACCCGAACCCTACAATATTTGGAAAACCTATAATTATAATAAAAAATTTCAAGTTTTTACATAGTTTTAAAACCTTTGCTTATTTTATGAACTTTGGTGTATTAATATTATAAAAGAATTGAGTGTTTTACAAAAAAGAAAAGATCTATTTGTCAGCTTAGTAAAAGTGTGAGACAGTCTACATTTCAAGTGTGAACCTTAAGATCGTAAAAGAACAACTCTAAAAAATTTAGTAAAGTAATTCGTCTTCAATCGCGATGTAAAATTTCAATTATTTTTAGACACACGCCCTCCAACTCTCCAAGTACTATAAAAAATCTCAAAACTTATTTCGAAATATTCACGGTTTTGTAGTAATTACTTCCATATTACTCCCTCCATTCACAAATAAACTTAGATTGCGCGTTACGATGTTTGACTGAAGTTATTTTCAAATCATTTAATATGAAAAATGGTGTAGAATTAAAAAATAAAAATTACATGTTAAAAAACTATATCAAAAGATCTACAAAACTAGAGGTGACATGACTATATTATTTTATCAAATGAATGACGAAAATAGGCCAACAAAGTGAATAAAGTTTGACCATGTGAATAGTGAACGTAAAGTTTATTCGTGGACGGAGGGAGTATGTGAAAGATACCATGAGATATGTTTAAGTTTTTGGTAAGAACTCTCATGTCTTACATGAGATATGTTTAAGTCTTTAAGCTTGTGTTTGGATGAGGTGAAAATAGAAGGAAAGAAAAGTCTTGAGAGAAAAACACAATTCCCAAAAAAATTTCTTGTGTTTGTTTGGAGGAGAAAATGGGGAGAGAATGGAAAATGAGAGGTGAAAAGTTTTCTCCCCTCTAGGGATGAGAAAATTGGCTAAAGGGAGAGAAAAGTTTGGAAATGACATTTTTACCTTCCACTATATTCACTTTTCATATAGAATAAGAGTAAAGTTATCTTTTTATTTTAATACATTTTCTTTCCTCCTACCTTTTATCTCTATTTTATACCTATCCAAACAACATTTATTTTCTTCTCATTTTCTCTTCATTTTCTTTCTTCTCTATTTTTCTTTCCATCGATTTTCTTTCCACACATTTTCTCTTTTTATCCAAACAATGTGTAAAGTTTGTGATATTATCATTCGAGAATACATTATGCCCGTTTAGATGTTAGGATTGAAATTCTTTTACTTTGACAAATACTCCCTCCGTCCAAAAATATTCTTCCCATTTGACTTTTCTTGGTCAAAGTTTGTAAACTTCGACTATGGTATATGGAAAGAATACATTGTATTACGATATAACATTAATATGAATATATTCATTTTGAAATATAGTTTTCAAATATCATTTTTTTATAAAATATATCTATGTATAAATAAAGATATTAGTGGTCAAAGTGTAGTCTTGGAGACCGTAAAAAATCAAATGTGAAAAAATGATTTCACATTTGATTTTAAATTTTATCTTGATAATAAGTTTTTATTAAATTCAAAATAGTCCTTCAAATGGTCAAACTAAAAAATGATTTCAAGCCTAATTTTTTTGAGGGTAATTTACATAAATAGAACTAAAACATATTGACTTTCTCAATATAGGACCATATGTTTTTATTTCCAAATGTAGGACCATTGGTTATTATCTATTAGTCATTATTCAATTAAATATCCAGCATTACTTGGACATTATTAAGTTTTATTTAGGAAATAAAAAAGTTTAAGTCATACACATTGGGATATGATTAATGTTTTAGTCTTATTTAGTGCACGAAATGAAAAAATGAAGTAAAAATTTAAAATTATAAGTATACTTTACTTAAAGCTAATATAGTTTTTTGAAAAAACTTACATATTTAAAAATTGCTATCTAATGTTACAAGAAATAAGAAATGATTTTTTTATTTTATTAAATACTCAAATAAAATACACAAATAAAAAAATTCTTGAGAAATTTTAAATAATTCACCATGATCTTATTTTTTGGGACAGAGGTATGAGTTTTAAAAATCAGGAATTTTCTGGAACCTTGCATTACAAAGTTGCAAACGGCTGAAGAATGGAAGCTCCTCGAAGGTTCAGGCACCATCGCCTCTTCCGTATATAATCGCCATCTCTGCTCCTCCGTTTTCTCATCGGAGAATAAAAAATCTGCTCAGGAGTATAAACACCACCCAATCAATCTAACAATTAATTCTCAATTTGTTTTTGATCAAATGTCTCTGATTCCAAGCTTCTTCGGAGGTCGCTCCCGGAGCCACGTTTCCGACCCGTTCTCTCTCGATTTCTGGGACCCCTTCCAAGGATTCCCGTTCTCAAACGCCGTCGGCGCGCCGAGCGAGACGTCGGCGTTCGCGAACGCGCGGATCGACTGGAAGGAGACGCCGGAGAGCCACGTGTTCAAGGCGGATCTGCCGGGGCTGAAGAAGGAGGAGGTGAAGGTGGAGGTGGAGGAGGGGAGGATTCTGCAGATCAGCGGCGAGAGGAGCGGCGAGAAGGAGGAGAAGAACGACAAGTGGCACCGCGTGGAGCGGAGCAGCGGCAAGTTCCTGCGGCGGTTCCGGCTGCCGGAGAACGCGAAATTGGAGCAGGTGAAGGCGTCGATGGAGAACGGAGTGCTCACCGTGACGGTT